GCAGCCTGGAGAGATGCTTCCAGCTGCACATTGTGTTCCACCGCCCCGCCCCCTTCCTTCCCCATGCCCGCGGGCGCGCTTCTTCTGTCTGCCCGGACAGGGAAGGGCAGGGCTGGCTTAGAAGCGCCGCTCCAGACCAAACTCCGCCTTCCCACGCTTAGTACATGCTACATAACGTAGCCCTGGCCAGCGTGGGGCCCGGCTCAAGGCAGCAGCGACCGGGGCTGCCATTTCCTCCTGCTGGCATCGTGCCTGCAATAAAACAGGACAAAGCAGCTTGACAGTCTCCATCCTCGCTGCTAACACGGAGCTCACCGCGCGTACTGAAACCGGCTCCCTAGGACTATTAAAACAGGTGGAAAGAAGCTCCCTTACATGCGAGTTAAAAACCACAGAAACGAAGTTGGCCGCGCACCGCTTTCCCCTTGAGTCCAGGACAACTTGTTTCTCCTCCCCACCTTTTTTCTTTGCTCTCCCACACTGGATTTTACAAAGAGGTTGGTGAATTATTCTACAACACTGGAAGTGCTGCCGTATTTTTATTTATATTGCAATATCACTCAGGATCAGGGCCCCAATTTCCTGTGTGACCCCAGGCAAATGATTGATGTCTACACTTGCACCCTCTTTCGAGAGAGGGATGCAAATGAAGACATTCAAAATTGCAAATGAAGCCAGGATTTAAACATCCTGTGCTTCATTTGCATATTCGCGTTATGGTGCTATTATCAGATGCTGTTAAGACGTGGTTATTTCGAGAGAAAACCCTTCTCCCGAAATAACTGGCAACCTCATTGTATTAGGAATAAGGGTTATTTCGAGAGGAGGGTTTTCTCTCAAAATAACCACGTCTTAACAGCATCTGATAATAGCACCATAACGCGAATATGCAAATGAAGCACAGGATGTTTAAATCCTGGCTTCATTTGCAATTTTGAATGTCTTCATTTGCATTCCTCTCCAGAGAGAGAGGGTGCAAGTGTAGACATGCACTATAACTTCAATGGGCACACTTGTGTGTAAAGTTAAGAATATACACACGGGTTTACTGAATCAGGGCCTAAAAAGGGACAAGTGACATATGAACCATAGTAGTTGAATGGTACCAAATGTATAGGTATGATATATACACGTGTACATGTACAATAACAATACTTTTAGAATAATCTCTCTATATATGTTAGAGGTTTCTGTCTGTGTGTCTGTGAGCCCGTTTGTTCAAGAACTCCTTCTAACCAGTAAGAGCTAGCACCACCAAATTTGGTAGTCAGCTTCCTCTTGTCTTAGCTTAAAGCAAGGCCAGACGTTGGTTTTGTCAGAAAACGGGACATGCCTGGAATTTGATAGTTTTCCATAACGTGGAAAGGGAGGGGGGGAGAGAGGAGGGATGTGATCTTCATGCTCACTACTGGGGGCAGTGAGTACAGGGGAGAGCTATCCTGCAGAGATCTCTGGGGGAACGGCCAACTGGGGATAGGGCTCCACCATTTTGCCTGCCACTAGTCAGTGGCTTCCCTGCCTAAAATCCTGCATGTCCAGCCCTGGCTGCCCCCCTATAGGAACC